AACGCGCCGCCACGCCGTCGCCGGTTAGAATATTTTTTTCTTGTTTTCCTCCTCTAAAAAATATGTGCGTCTTATGGTCAGGTGCGTCTTATGGTGTGAAAAATACGGTATGTTGTAACCAGCTTTAGAAGTTCAGTTATAATTGTACTTATAACTGCTGTAAAGAAGATCAGAAGCTATTTCTTTTATATTTTTCTTTCTTTTTTCTTTTTCTTTTAATTCCCCCCTCCTTTCTTCCACTTTTAGCTTTCTCTTTGATTTCTTTCTTTTTTCTTCATTTATATTATTTTATTTTCCTTTTCTTTTTTCTTTTTTTTAAAAAAAGTACCTTTAATAAATATATATATAAAAGAGAGAGATATCTGGCCCAGAATCATCTAGATTGTGGCTGATGGTAAATGGAGAAACAGAGTTTTCCCAGTTCCAATAACACCTTAACTATTACAGCACGTGGGTTTATTATGCAAGGCAGTTGTTAGTGATGCAACCATAATTCAGCTAGAGATGCTTGCAAAATTCATTTGAATTCTGATAGAGCTGGCTTCCATAGTGCAGATTTCAGAGTTTTTTGTTTCTGGTAAGCATGCAAAAATTGCTCGTAGTATTTCTGCTGTTGTTGAACTTTTCCAGTGAAGAACTGCATAGCTTCATTTTTAAATGCACATAACTTGCTGTTTCTCTTCCTTGATCCTTGGATTCTCTTCTCTCCCCCCCCCCCCAAAAAAATACTACTGATACAAAAAAATACGTGGCATTGGATGAGGGGGAGATTGACAAAAATGTGGTGCTTTGTAAGGACAAAAGTACATTCTGCTAATGCAAATCTGCAAGAGCTAGAAACTCCATTAAAGCAGTTTATAAATCAATGTTTTTCAACCTTGACAATTTTAAGGTGTGTGGACTACAACTCCCAAGAACTGCTGGCTGGGGAATTCTGGGAACTGAAGTCCACACATTTTTAAAGTCATCAACTTTGAGAAACACTGTAATAAATAGTTCTGCACCATTAAACCAGCTAAGTTAATTATAACATGCTTTCCAGGTTTTTTATGAGCTTTTTTTTTTTTTAAAAAAAATGTTTTCAGCAGAGTTCCGAAACCAAGAAAATAGCCATCACATCTTGAATGAACAACTTTGAATTCCTGGTGTCCTTTCCACCTATTTTAATCTGCTTTTCTGGAGGGGAAATATATATATAATAAATGACTCCGAGACAAGTTATCTTTTACAAGCTGCTTGACTTTGGTGAACAGTATTCGTTGATTTCATGACATTCGCACTGAATGTAATTATCCTTCCTTGCCAAAGAAAATTGTGTTGCCTTGGAAGGATTTATGAGTGTTGCAATCTAGTAAGTAGAGAGGAAGGCAAGGGAAAGGCTCCTTGGTTCCCCAGAGAAAAAGTAATACAGTTCTGGACAAAGCGATCTGTAACTCATTGAAGCCTTCATATAGGCTTCAAACCATTTAGGCTGCTCTGTAGAAAGTTTCNTAGTATTATTTTTAATTATTAAAGTGTTGTTATTATTATTGTTTTTAATAATTGTACTGTTTAAAAGAGAGTTAAAGGAGGTTGTAGATATGTTATTTTAATAGTTGATTAATGTTAATTAGAGTATGATTATGTTATTGTTAACCCTGTGATTGGCACTGGGAAGTGAGGGGGGAGGGAGGGGGGGTGGAAGGGTGGGAAGGGGAAGGGGGGATTTATATTGTAAAATTTTATAAAAAAATTTAATAAAAAAAAAAAGAGTCCGGATTTTGATCATGTGAGCATGGGGATGCTGCAACAGTCGTAAGGGTGAAAAATGTACATGCCACTTTTTTTCCACCGCTTTTGCAACTTTGAACGGTCACTAAATGAACGAGGGCTACCTGTATATAACAGTAACCATAATCCTGTGAGATATATGATTAAGAGATATGACTGGCCCATTGATCCAGGGGAATTTTAAAGAATAATATACAAGTGAGATCAGAGTTTTTTTCTTTTGGGATTAATGGACAAACAATTAGAAAAAAGTCATGGTATTTTGTTTTTGTGAATGATAATTGCAACAGGATTATTGTATGCCAAAAGGTGGAAGGATTTGGTACCACTTTCCATGGAGGAATGGTTGGTAAAGATGATAGACTTTGCTGAGATGGCTAAGTTGACTTCTTTGATCAGACAGAAGATAATACCTACTTTTTATTGCTCTCTGGAGACCCCTTATGGATTTTTTTTCCATAAAACAGGAAAAAGTGAACTTGCGATTTACGGATTTAGTGATTACATAGGATAAGATCATAGAAAAAAGAAAGTATGTTGTAACCAGCTTTAGAAGTTCAGTTATAATTGTACTTATAACTGCTGTAAAGAAGATCAGAAGCTATTTCTTTTATATTTTTCTTTCTTTTTTCTTTTTCTTTTAATTCCCCCCTCCTTTCTTCCACTTTTAGCTTTCTCTTTGATTTCTTTCTTTTTTCTTCATTTATATTATTTTATTTTCCTTTTCTTTTTTCTTTTTTTTTTAAAAAGTACCTTTACTAAATATATATATATAAGAGAGAGATATCTGGCCCAGAATCATCTAGTTTGTGGCTGATGGTAAATGGAGAAACAGAGTTTTCCCAGTTCCAATAACACCTTAACTATTACAGCATGTGGGTTTATTATGCAAGGCAGTTGTTAGTGATGCAACCATAATTCAGCTAGAGATGCTTGCAAAATTCATTTGAATTCTGATAGAGCTGGCTTCCATAGTGCAGATTTCAGAGTTTTTTGTTTCTGGTAAGCATGCAAAAATTGCTCGTAGTATTTCTGCTGTTGTTGAACTTTTCCAGTGAAGAACTGCATAGCTTCATTTTTAAATGCACATAACTTGCTGTTTCTCTTCCTTGATCCTTGGATTCTCTTCTCCCCCCCCCCCCAAAAAATACTACTGATACAAAAAAATACGTGGCATTGGATGAGGGGGAGATTGACAAAAATGTGGTGCTTTGTAAGGACAAAAGTATATTCTGCTAATGCAAATCTGCAAGAGCTAGAAACTCCATTAAAGCAGTTTATAAATCAATGTTTTTCAACCTTGACAATTTTAAGGTGTGTGGACTACAACTCCCAAGAACTGCTGGCTGGGAACTGAAGTCCACACATTTTAAAGTCATCAACGTTGAGAAACACTGTAATAAATAGTTCTGCACCATTAAACCAGCTAAGTTAATTATAACATGCTTTCCAGGTTTTTTATGAGCTTTTTTTTTTTTAAATGTTTTCAGCAGAGTTCCGAAACCAAGAAAATAGCCATCACATCTTGAATGAACAACTTTGAATTCCTGGTGTCCTTTCCACCTATTTTAATCTGCTTTTCTGGAGGGGAAATATATATATAATAAATGACTCCGAGACAAGTTATCTTTTACAAGCTGCTTGACTTTGGTGAACAGTATTCGTTGATTTCATGACATTCGCACTGAATCCTTCCTTGCCAAAGAAAATTGTGTTGCCTTGGAAGGATTTATGAGTGTTGCAATCTAGTAAGTAGAGAGGAAGGCAAGGGAAAGGCTCCTTGGTTCCCCAGAGAAAAAGTAATACAGTTCTGGACAAAGCGATCTGTAACTCATTGAAGCCTTCATATAGGCTTCAAACCATTTAGGCTGCTCTGTAGAAAGTTTCTACTATTGGATCCATGTGAATAATACGTTTATTTGTCGGCCCTTTTGATCCTCTAGGCTCAACAGTGGCGGAATGAAAATTTTGAACGGCCTATTGACATGGAAGGCTCCGGGGACGATTACTCCTTTGAAGATGAAGAACTAGAGGAAATGGAGGACTTCTATTCGGGATCTGGCTCGGGATGTGAGTACTGTATGGAATTAAAATGGCAAGAATTACATCATTCCAGGAAGGAATACATCATGCCAGTTGTGGCTTTGATGGTCCGATTAATAGAACAGATGGAAAGGCAAAAGTCCTTTTTGGGTTGAATTTTTATTCTCCGTATATCTGTGTGTGTTGGATAGTCAGCGTTCCTTTGAGGGGAAATCAATTGCTTTTTCTTTCAGGAAGAAAGTTTCAGGAAAATTCTAAGAGGTGGTGGCACTTTCTTTGGATATGAGGTAGATGTGAAATAGGTGTGATTCGCATATTGTGCTAAGCCAGCAATGGGCTTTCTATGATTTTTCCTTTGGATGTGATGTGAACTCAGCTAACTGCTCATGGTTCATGCAATGGACAAACCTAGTTCATACCATGGTTTAATGCAGTCTGCAAACCTGATCAGTGCCTTATCTTTCATGGTATGCTCATTTTTTCAGATACCTGTAGAATAATGGAAAGATTCCTCTCCCTCCCTCCCTCTTTCCTTTTCCCTCTCCTCTCTCTTCCCCCCCCTCTCTCTCCCCCCACTTCTCTCTCTCTCACTCTCTCTCTCTCACACACACACACATACACACACACACATCTCCAAGCACCATGTGTTCCCTCACAACAATCAAGTCTGGTCACCCCTATTGCCTCACTGGAAAAAGTTCTCCAGAAAAGGAGACTCCTATTTCAGAGAAGCAAACTTTTGAGAATGTGTGAATTTTGATACAATATATGTAAAGAGGCAACCTGTAGAAAGCCCCTTTCCCAATTTTTGTGCTCCCCAAAACCTACCGAGATAAGGTTCAACAATCCTGTTTTTATTGACAATATAAGGGACAGGGTAGGTATGTGAGATCTCTTGGAAACTTAACTGACCTCTTTTACTGCTTCAATCCCATAATGATGAGCTCACTCCTGGCCATGTCCGTCAAAGACCCCCGGGAAGATGCTGATGCTGGATCTGATGTATCTTTGCATTCTTTGGGTCCAAATATTGTACAGTGGAGTTCCTATCACCCACCAAAGTCCTTTGCAATTCTCACTGAATTCAACAGATTAAAAGAATGTTGAATGCTGCCTTAGGATTCATGGAGATTTGCATCTTTTAGAGGGGAAAAAAAATGAATGTTGCAAGAGTATAAATTTCTTAAGGATTAACAAGTGGTAAGTTCCACAGAATTGAAAAGAATGACTTCTGAGGGAACATGTAGATAATCCCAGTGCTATTGTTCAGCTCTGGTTGTAAAAACATGGAAAATCAAAGCAGGTTTTTAACGCTAACTAAAATAGCAAGATTGCCCATTAAAAACCAAACTGCAAGCAGTTGCCATGCTCTAATTTGCCAGCTAATATCCATAGTTTAATTTTCATTCAGTTCACAGTGCGTTGTTTTGATTCATTCATTGACTTTAATTATTTCAAAGAGATGGAGTTTTCTGCAGAAGCAAATCGAACAGGAAATCTGGATGCCGTAGATAGGAAGGCAGATCCCTCGTAGATTGGGGCTGCACTTTCCAATAATCAGAATCCAGAAAACTGGCATAGCTTCCAGATTCTTCTGAGTGACAACTCCCAGCACCCCTCTTCTCTAGGCAACTGTGACTTAGTAAAATCTGGAGGACTACAGCTTTCCCAATTCGTATTATAAAATAGCTCTTTGTCGTATCTTGTTTCACTTGCAGTATTGCAGTTATGATAACTAATAATATTAATCAGCGTGAATAGTCTACTACTGAAAAAAAATGACTTATGACCATTTTTCACACTTAGGACCGTTACAGCATCCCCTTAGTCATGTGATCAAAATTTGGATGCTTTACATATTTATGATGGTTGCAGTGTCCTGGGGTGATGTGATCACTTTTTGTAACCTTCTGACAGGCAAAGTCAATGGGGAAACCAGATTCACTTAACAACCGTGTCACTAACTTAACAACTGCAATGATTCACTTAGCAACTGTGGCAAGAAAGGTTGTAAAATGGGGCAAAAGTCACTTAACTGTCTCGCTTAGCAATGGAAATGTTGGGCTGACTTGTGGTGATAAGTTGAGGACTACCTGTATTCCTGTTTGTTTCCTGCCTTAGGGTAATTTAGAGTATTGTTATTTTCTAGATGATGTTTGTGTTCTGTCTTGCAGATTTCAAGCAGGACCCTGAATCCAAGATGGTTGTGCGACTCACCACAGATTCACCCATCCTTCTTGCTACCACCTCAGCTGTGTTGCCTGTCACATCTGTGCAACCAGTTGCCACCCCTTTGGCACCACTCTCTACAGAGGAAGTTATTTCTAATTCAGCTAATGGTCTGTACATCCCCAGAATTTCAGAAGCACCAGCAGTCACCATCTGGAAAGCAGTAGGTGTTACTGCAACTACTGCAGCCCGCGATGTCACTACTGCTACTACTACTGCTGCTGCTGCTGCTGCTGCTGCTGCTGCTGCTTCTAGCATGGCTACGACAGCCTCCACCACAACAGTTACCTCTAAACCAACAACTGCCCTGAGGGACCTGCTGCCTGTGATCACAATTGTTGCTGTGACACAGTCAATGATGCTTGAAACCCCAACGACTGCTACTGTAGCCAGAACGGAAATTCCAGCTTCTCCCCCGGGGACCAGTGAGACAAAGATCAGAGATACAGCACAGCTCAGCACTTCACAGGAACCAGATGTTACGACAATGCCCCAGCCTCCTACAGCAACACCAACAGATGCTGCTCAGGTAGATCTGAAGCTAGGAAAGAGTTTAAAGAGGCTCTTTGTCTCAATATGGTAATTTCTGCATGCACTAAACCAGAGGTGGGGAACTATGGCCTATGACTTGTGGACTTCAACTTCCAGTCATAAAAGGCCACAGTTTCTCACCCCTACTAAACCATAGTCTTTCAGGTCTAACTAAAGATAAGGTACAAACTCACGATAACAGTCCTGGTCTTTCTCCTGTTTGTCAATCAATGAATGAATCAATGTCAGCCAATCATTAGTTTCCTCCTTTTCTTCCATTTTTCCCTTTCTTTCTGTCTTCTTTTGCTTAGAAACACTTCAATATTGTTGGCCCAATTGGTTTTGAAGCAATAGCTTTAACACTGGTAGTGCCATTTCAGCGCAAATGTTCATCACTTCTTTGTTTCTTCTGTGTTTAGCTCTTCACCTGAGAAAAAGGATTCTGGGTGGAGTCTGCATATGCAAAGAAGGGAAAATAAATAGTGAAACTGGGAGTCATAAAGGAAGACTACAACTTTTGCTCCTAATTTCCAATAGTTTCAGCATTTCCCTAAATGACTTGTATGAAGAAATTGAGGGAATGATGATCAGATTTCCAGATGACATCCCACTGGGTGGGATTGCTACTACGATTACCCTAGATAGAAGACAGAAGTTCAGATGGATGGTTTGAGATGTGGGATGAAAGTAACAGCTTGAAATTTAGCAGAGATGGATGTAAAGTTCTTCATTTAGGAGAAAGATGTTGCAATACTACAGAATGAGAGATACCAGGCTGGGTATAGCAATAGTGCTTGTGAAAAGGAGCTGGAAACCTTAATCATGAGTGAAATGTGTTTCAGTTTGCTGAAACAGTCAAATGCAGAGGTATAGTTTCCAAATCAGGGTGTGTATGTCATTGTTCTTCATTAGACAAGTTCTGCCTTGAGTATTATGTCTAGACCTAAGCACAACATGTTAAGAAACTTTCAGGGAAAGTGGAAGAGATATCAAGAATGGCCACAAGAGTACACAGAGGTCTGGACCTTGAGGCTTGCAAGGAGAAACCCGGGGGTGGGGGGTGTTATTTTAAAGGAAGATGCTATCAGTGGGAAGAATATGAGAATGATTTCCAAAAACTGTCTATGGAGATTCTCAACCATCCAGGTCATGGTTGTCCCAAAGGTGCTTTTCCAAAAGGCATCTGGACTTTCTTTCCTTTTCCTTGAAACCGTTTCGCTTCTCATCAAAGAAGCATGAGAAGCTTCTTGGAAGAGAAGCAAAAGGTTTTCAAGAAAAAAACAAGAAAGTCCAGTTGCCTTTTGGAATCTTTGGGATTTACAAAATAAGTTATGAAGAAGAAGGCAAAGACTAGTTTTTTACTGAGCCAGACTGCCAGAAACAAAACAGGCAACAGGAAGGCTGCTTCCATTTGAATGTTAGGAAACATCTAATCATAAAAATCACTTCAGCAGAGGAACTAATACTGTATGAGGATAATTAGCTCTTCCTCACTAGATGGGCTCAAAGAGACATATTTGGGTGTGCTTTGAATTAGATCCCTGGTATTTAATGACTTGTGTTTGCTCTGTGAGTCTGTAAAATACACCACTCATTAGCATGGAGAAGAAACATAATATAGAATTAAATTATGCATCTAAAGATGCCTACCTTCCTACTAGAAAACAGACTTTTCAAATTGATTAAACTAATTGTAGAAATCCCACTTCTGTTATTGTGTACACACACATACACAGACACAGACACACAGACACACACAAAAAAACTGAATATCCAGGAGCACCATCAGTGAAATATGTAATTAACCTGACTAAAAATTTAGTTATTTACGTGAGTAGATAATACTTTAATGTCTTATTCCTTTGTGTGTGGTCTCCATGGCAACTTAGAACAGGAATTTAAATGTAAAACAATTGAATGAACTGTATCGCTAAAACAGAATGACACAGATTAAAACAAAATTAAGCTACGAACAGATCTAGATTTCATTCTGCTACAGTTTGGGAAACCAAAAGGTGTCTAAATGAAATGAAAACTGGTGCTGTGTGAATATATTTATCAAAATCTATTAGGTCATTGTGATTCAGTGGGGAATGTTGGTGAAGGGGTGGTTGAAGCCCAGAACCGTGAAGGCTTCAGCTGTTATTTCAGATGATACAAAAACCTACTTATCTTTCGATGCTTCAGTCCATTCTGTTGAGTGCCATCTCAAATATCTGAAGGTGGCCCTACTTGAAGCAAATGAAAGCAATGAGAAAAATGAGGGATCCTTGGTGCTGTCTGAGCTTGGTGGTTTTCTTGTAGACATTTCATTACTCAAACTAAGTAACATCTTCAGTGTTAGACTAGCACCGATGATGTTACCTAGTTTGGGTAATGAAATGATTGCAAGAAAACAACCAAGCTCAGAGAACACCAAGGACCCCTTATTTCAACCCTGAGCTACAAATATTCTCCTTTATTAATGAGAAAAATAAAATGTAGGGTTTCCTCAAGGTGATGCACATGAGGAACTTTGTGGGAAATGTAAAATGGGGGCTTCCTGACCCAGCCATCGGGATGGAACCTTTCTAGGGCCCTTGTATCAATGGAAAAGGGATGCTGAACTTTTAGCTCAGAAAATGTATCACCCCAAACTTTGGTTAGCCAATTCTGCAGCACATCAGGAGTCCCGATATTAGCTCCAAAGTTCCCTTCCAGGAGACTCTCATTGCCTTTCCTGTGGGAGAAAATGGTTTTTCCTGACTCCGTTACACATTGTGGCTGTGACATTTTCTAAGAGGAAGACAAAGGGGGGGGGGAAATCACATCAGCCAATAGACGCGGCACATCCCTGAATGAATTGTTTCAGTCAGAACCATATACGGCATCCTTTTTAACAGTCCGGTGGTTGTAAATATGACAGGTGTTGCTGGGAAATCTGATCTTGCTCTGTCCTCTCTTTGGAAAATAGAAAAAGAAGAAAAGGGGATTTCTTCACTATTGTTAACATATTAAAAAACAGGGACCAGCTGTGCGTAAGTGGGAATAGGTTGAGGTGAAGGATGAAGTACAATAATCAAGTGCAAGTACCAAGTCAAGGATAAATCGAAGCTGGGTTTACTCCTCTGGTTTAATGTCTCTATCATCCAGGTCAGTGATGGCGAACCTTTTAGAGACCGAGTGCCCAAATTGCAACCCCAAAACCCACTTATTTATCGCCGGGTGCCAGGTGGGCGTGGCCCACTGGGTGGGCGTGGCCGTGGTGGTCATGGCAGATTGGGTGGGTATGGCCAAGGTGGGCATGATCACCTCAATGTTGCTCGTGGGGAGGGACGCCTGTGGGGGCCGGGCAGGGTTGGGGGAGATCCAGGGGGTCTCCGGCAGGTGGGGCAGTGGGCAGGAGGCTCGTCCTGCTGGGTGAGGCGAGGCAAGGTGAGGCAAGGCGGGGGTGCCATTGTCACAGGGCAAGGTGAGGCAGGGGCCAGGGTGGCTGCTGCTTGACACCATTGGCCCCTGCACACAGAGCCAGCAAGAGCACAGGTGCTGGGATGCATCCAGCCATGTGGGACCTCGACGAGTTAGTGGGTGGCTGGTTGAAGAGGAATGGTTGCTATCTCCGGGAAATGGCGCGCATGCCCACAGAGAGGGCTCTGAGTGCCGCCTCTGGCACGCGTGCCATAGGTTCGCCACCACTGATCCAGGTCATCCAAAAGGCAACTGGCTTTTTTCCTTGAAAACATTTCGCTTCTCATCCAAGAAACATCTTCGGTTCTGACTGAACTTAAGAAGTTTCTTGGATGAGAAGCGAAATATTTGCAAGGAAAAAAATCTAGAAGGTTTTGGAAAAGCATCTTTGGGAGACTCTTCTGGCTTGTTTCTTTAAGCTTTTTCTCTTGTTTCCATTTTATCCTTACTACAACTCTACAGCAGTAGGCTGACATCATACCCAAACTTTGTAGCTGAGATGAAAATTCAGATTTTTGTTTTTTTCCAACTCCTGCCCAGGACTCTGGTTTCATCACCAGCCTTCTCTATCTAGTCTGCTACTTTCTGATGTTAGAAGGGAATGATTGAAGATGAATTCTTACACATCTAAAGGTCACCAGGTTGGGGAAAGAGACAATCAATCCAACTGCTCAAAGTTGCTGGGAGTTGGCTGGCATTACAAATATAATAAATTGTAGTTGGTTGCACAGTCAGCCAGAAGTTCAGATTGGATTTGACATTTATATCCTCCTATTGAGTTCTTCTCAAGGACCTGGGATAGGTGGATCTTGTTGTTTAATAATATTAAAGATATTGTCTCAGGATGTAAGCTGTTCAAAGTAAAGCTGCCTTTTGCAATTGACTGATGGGATTTTCTAAATGCAGTTGATGTTCAAGTGTTGCTTCAGATGTGTTGGAATTACATCCAAGGGGCCTTAATATTGCCACTATCTTGGATTCTTTTTTCTTTTTTATCACAGTTGTTCTACTTCTATTTGCAGGTTTTTATATTTTGTGATTTTCTCCAGTTCTTTCTCTTCTATTCAGCTGTCTCCAGGTGTTGCAATGTTCACTAGCCAGACTTTTTATCTTTTATCTTCTTTCTCTACCAACTGTTAAGTCTGGAATGTTGTGTGGCAGATGCTTGTCTGTTTGAATTCTAAAGTCCCAGAATATTACATTGTTATGCCATTGTTCATAATCAGTCTCTGGGATCTTCTTGTAGCAGCTAACTAGACAGTTCACTGTTTCTTCAGCTTCTTTGCCGAGATGGCATTTGCTATCTGTTACTGTCTTCTCAATTCTGATTTTATATAGATTTGTTCATAAGGTTTAGTCTTGTGCAGCCATAATTAGCCCGTGTCTCTTTCTTCAACTTTCCTGCTCTTGGCCGTTGCGTGGTCTTCTTGTTATCTGATTTGCCTGCTTTTTTTAAATGTAGTGACTGTGTAATACTTTGCCTTGCCATGCCTCTCTTCTTTTCTTCATTTGCTGTTTCTTATAGATCAGTTCGGTCTCTTTGGTATTCAGTAAACCTTCATGATGTACTAGCTTTTCAGTTCCTCTTTGTTAATGTCCTATAGGTGTTCTTCCAATGTCCCTTTTTTCTTATTTTGGTTGGTTTCAGAGTTAGCTTTGTTGTCCATTTATTTTGTCCTCCCTAAGGACCTGTTATTATTATATAATTATTTCTACCATCCTAGCTGTGATTCCAGAGGAGTTTTCCTCCTTATCTTCAATGTGCCTGAGAAATTTGTGCATTTAAACATTCATTTAGAGCCCTCTTTTAAAAGCTTTCTCATTCATTCTTGTTTTCTGTCTGTCTGTCTTTCTTTCATTCGGGGCAGTACAAAGGTGGCCCTGCTGGTACCAGGAACATAGAGACAGAATTAGACATTTTGCATTATTATGAAAAGAAATTATTACATCACCTATTCATGTTTCGATTTCTCTCATTCCTTTACATTTGCCACCACTAAATTGAGCATATTCCAGATGTGCAAACTGGAATTTTCAAAATTTCATAGCCATCATTGCTGAGAATTTTGGGACATGAAGTCCACACTCAGTTTGGAATAGTATATCCTAACTCTGGCTATCTCTCCTTGAGTGTTTCAAGATGGTATTTGCCCACATTTGCTCTTTTATGTATAATATCTTCTATCCTGAAGCTGCCATCCAAGCAGATTTCTTCTTCTTATCCACTGGACATTTCAGTCTGCTGATCTAGGCATCCTCTCCCTGTTTTCCCAAGCAAACTCACAGGACTATTCTTTTTTTTTGGGGGGGGGGGATCTTGAAGACTTAATTTGTGACAGGCATGACTAAATATGGGTGGGGAGGTGGGGGCTAGTTCAAAAGGGATGAATCTCTAGCTCCCCCTCCTGGCTAGCATCCATAAAGGCAGCAGAGCTGATTCTACACAAATAGACACAAAAAACCCAGTCCCTAGTAAAAATGGTCACTTACCTGCTCTATATATCACTACCATCCCAGCAGAGATAAATTGGAAAAGAGGCCTTGTACAAGGAAGTCAATTTGTTTTATCAAAAATACAAAGCTTGATACAGAAAAAAAGTATTGATGAAACTTTCAAGTAACAATGGGCAGTGCAATCTTTGGACAGGTTGTGTGGGTGAGAGGGAGGGAGGGAGAGAGAAAGAGAGAGAGGGGGTCAAGAAGGGAATATCTTTAGGAGAAGAATAGCCAAATTAAAGCTCATTTAGGCTCATGGCAGCAGGAGGAAAACCTTGTTCTTTTTTCTTGGATACAACATTTTGCCTCGTTTTCCTCTTCCTATAGCTGCCTATGTAAATGATGAATGCTTAACAGTCAATGCTCATTGAAGGGGCCTCTTTCAAGCCTTCTCTTTCATCCCCAAAAGAGGTGAAACAGCCTGGGGTTGAAACTTTTGTTCCACCTACTCCTGGATGCTCCTGAGCCATCTGCAGGTCCTTGTAAGCTCTGGGTCATCTATGTTTGTTGTCCTGTATCTCAGGCCAACCCAGGTAGTGGGCAAGTAACATCTTGCTCATCAGCCTGGCTAAGTGCTGGAGAGAAATGCACTGAAAGGAGGGGGGCATTATTATTTAACTTTCCTGCTTTCTGTATGCTCTTTTTTTCCCCTCTCTTCCAGGCAGAAACCATGGAAATGTCCCTTCCCACAGTTACAGTGAACGAACTTGAAGTTCCCATCAGTGGGGACTTCGAAATTCATGAGGAAGAGATAGCTCAGACCGAGCTTGGCAATGAAGTGGTGCCCCTGGTCACCCCTGCAACCGGGCCAGGGTTGAAAAAGAAAATGGAACCAGGGCTCCTAGACAATACAATAGAGTCTGGAAATTCAGCAGCACAACTCCCCCAGAAAAACATATTGGAAAGGAAAGAAGTGCTCATAGGTAAGATGTATTACAGATTGCCAATCTGGCTCCGTGGCCATGTTTGAGGGGAGAGAATGGAATGGTTTTTGTGGAAAGCAACTTCAAATGCATCGAGAGCCAGAGGATTGGCTTCCTTGCCTCAGAGCGCATGAGGTGGCTTTCCAAAATGTTGCCTTGAGGAATTTACTATATTGCATCGGTTAGTTGTCAGACTGATCAAGATTCAAGACACATTGTGTAGAGAGCTAGCTGCAAGCTTCTCCATAATCCATGAAAAGACCTCACCACCTTGCTGGATCACTGGAACGGTTGTTTGAAAGAAGTTCAGAAATTCTCCAGCCTAACATATGTGGGGATACAATATTAAAAGGGAATAGCTCCATGGCTAGAATTTTTGTAACCACATCCCATCCCTCTAATCTCAATAAATGTTAAAGAAGACAAATCTTGCTTGGAAGGCATTATTTCTAACCAAGGCAGCTGCCAGACTGACACTGCAAGCTGGACTATAGTGTGGAAGAAACAAGGCAGAGGAAGGAGAAACAGAAACGTTCATATACCTAAACTTGCACTGTTGTGAGCCATCATTTCCTAACTTTCTAGTGGTTTTTTTAAAAAATTATATTGTAAAAATACACATTACTTGCCATTTTCAACTTGCCCTAATTCAAATCTTTCCTTTGCAATTTCCCTAATATGTGCATAATATTTAGCATAAATGTCCCATGTCATGCCATTTTTTACTGGGGTGTGAAAATTACTTTTGATCCAGTCTGATTCAGAATTGACTCTGAACATTCATTTCAGTGATTTGATCTTAAACTGACTTGTTTCAAAAGTTAGATTTCATTCAGAGTCTTGCTCTCAAAATGCACCTCTAAACCGAAGTTTCCACAGTCCTTGTTTTCTATAGCCTTTTTTCTTTTGTTTATCTTATTCTGCTTTTTAAAACAGATTTTCCTTAAAGTTCTCCCCCTGCCATGCTTGATTTATTGTGCAACACCTTGATCTTATTCTATCTGAGCCTGCTTTTATGCACTGTTTTTATTGTTGAAGCGACTTTTTTGGCCACTGACCATAAATAAATAGAAACACATTTCAATTTTCAACTTTCCAGAGGCTGCTAGGCCAAAATGCATCAGGGATCCAATCCAACAGGGCCCTGCTTAGGTTCTTATGTACATTTGAAGTCAACCACAATCATTCTCATAACCCTTACAGAAGAGGCTCATCTAATGCCTTGATCCAGTATTTGAGGTGGAAAAAACTCAATTTTTCAAAGCTTTATGGAAAGCTAACAATTTTGGGAGCATGAAAACCCAGTGAAATATAAAATATGTCAGAGGTAGCTGTGGTGGGGGTGGGATGATAAAAAAGTCAAGATGGTGGGCACAACCATCAAAGATTCACTCCATTTGTATGCGTGTGACATGTTAAAAAGGGGATGAGGCTTCAGTAATGCAGTTGCAGCCACACTCTTGACTATTTTGATTCTCCCTCTGTAGACACTTCTGAAATCCATCCACCCATCCATCGGTCCATCCACCCATCCATCAGTCCATCCACCTGTCCATCAGTCCATCCATCCATCGGTCCATCCACCTGTCCATCGCTCCATCCTTCCTTCCCTCCCCAAGATTTTAATATTCAATTTTCTAAATTTTTGTTTTTATACAAAAGGTAAGCAGATAAAGATGTCTTTAACTTTCCTCTGTGGTCCCTTTGCAGCTGTGATTGTGGGAGGGGTCGTTGGGGCCCTCTTTGCCGCTTTCCTGGTGATGCTCTTGATCTACCGGATGAAGAAGAAAGATGAAGGAAGCTACACGCTGGAAGAGCCCAAACAGGCAAGTGTCACATACCAAAAACCTGACAAGCAGGAGGAATTTTATGCATAGACTGGAACTTCGAGTGCCTCACCATCTCTTTCAGTCTCAATGCTGTCCTTTTTTAAAAAAACAACAACACTACAAACCCATCTCTGATTCAACTTGTCTCTTTCTAATCAAGTCTATCAAGTTTAACCCGAAAGTTTGAAGAAACCAACCATTTTAAAAAGAGTTGCACATTTTTAGAAGGCAACAAAGCTGACTTGCATTGTAGCATAGGAGGTCCTGAAAGGAGTGCCGATGTGGGGGACCCAAGGGGTAGACCTTTCGGCTGTCTCCTAGAAGATCTTCTGGAATTAACAGGAAGTCCTGGTCTCATGTCTAACTCAGGACTAGAGCACTGATCTTTTTTAAAATTAAGTGGACACTTTTGGTTATCGATACTTTCTGATACTATTCAAGACATGGGTTTGACTTCATGTGGTAGAAGATGCAATATTTGGTAGACCGGCTGCTCATAGGCCATCACCTCTTCCGACTGAGCAACTGTGCTGGAGTTGACCCTTGGGATTGCTTCCTTGAAGATATCATCTGGTCTGCAGGGGCACTCCTTGTATCTTGCTTCCTTTCTCCCTTCATCTCATCACTGTTCACAGCCAAAAGACATCAGATGCTACCTTTCTCTTGCAAACCTGCCCTAAGCTTGCCTTGGTTTCCAGCTGAAGCTTGTGCCCGGATTTATTGGGATTCATTGTGACGTTAAATCTTGATTAGCACAGAATTGCAAGTCTAGGCAAGAGGCTGAAGAGCATTTTTCTAAGATATTGATCATGAGGAGGAGATGGCAATACCCATTTTTTTTTTAAAAAAGTCAAGCTATCTTCTAAAATCCTGTAGGAAATAGATGATATTTCACACATCTTGATGAATGGTGTGGTAATTTCTTCATTGGCGGGGGACTGGTGGGAGGTTTATTGGGGAAACCAAGAGTAGAGTGATGTGAGCCTAGATCTTTGATTCCATGGAACTCTGTAAATAGATGGATTTTTTAAAAAATGAAATAAGTATATAGAGGGGGGGGGGAGAATCCTGATTCTTCTGAAGCAGTAAGTTGTAGAGTAACAGTAAGCATACAAGAGAAATGTTTCAGTCAAGTTCGTTAAGCAAGTTCATATTTCATAACAATGTAGAAGAGGTGACTGTGCTGACCCCAAAGAGTTATAAGGATGTTATAAACCCCAGTCTGAACAAAGAACAAGAATAAAAATGGTAAATGATCCAGATAATTGGAATGTTGGAAACCATGCAATAAAATCAAGCAGTGGAAAGAACCAGTGTTTAACCTTTTGGAAGGTGAAGTCAGAATAACAAATATGTAGTAATTGTTTGAAAAAAGACATGTGAATGATAAATGTGCTGTAATTATGTCAGTGATAGAATGTTGTTACAAGATGCTTGTTGCTCTTGATAATTGATAATTCCTGTTGCATTAACTGAATGTTGTACACATGCACCTTGAGTAGAGTGCAATGACCAAAAGCTGTGATCATATTATTTGTGGTTGTGAAGAAAGTAGAAAGGATGTAGAGTTGTACATTAACACACTCCCGACAAATTCATATGGAGAGAAGCTGGGAATTATGTTTCACTTTTAAAAAGTAGCGAAAATGGAAAAAATATCAAAGGTGCAGATAAGTAACTTCCAGCATCTAAAAGTTTGTCAAAGCCATTGAAGGGGAAAAAAGAGTGTTGTTTTTAGAACGATAGTAATTTTTATTGAATTTTCAAACCAATACAGTTAATTATAATAGTACTTCTAGTAATAAAACAAGTAAAAATGGTTAAGAACCAAATTAATACATTTCATTTCATTTCAACCATCTTGCGTAAATTATATATCTAAAAAATTAAACAGCACAAAAGAAAAAAAAGAATGAAAAAATATAAAAAATACTAAACATTGTGAAAAATTAGTACTTTTCTATTATGTTAAAGTAATAGTATTGTATGATGTTTATTCAAATTGTTACAAATTAGTTTTTAAACTTTGTGTTAAACCTGGAGCACCCATAATCATATCATCCAATATTGCTTCTTGGAGAACTCACAAATTTCATTAAGCCATGCTCTGGAATCTTAAGGATGTCTCCTTCTAGTAATATATCAGAATCACTTAAAAAGAAAAAGACAACAGTTCAGATTTGATATATCCAAACCTTTTTACAGGTACACAATGCTCAAACTTTTAGAAAGTACAGGTAGTCCTTGATTTATGATCACAATTGAGGCCAAATTTCTGTTGCTAAATGAAACATTTGTTAAATGAGTTTTGCTCCATTTTACAACTTTTCTTGCCACAGTGGTTAAATGAATCACTGTGCTTGTTAAGTTAGTAACATAGTTGTTAAGTGAATCTGGCTTTCCCATTGACTTTGCTTGTCAGAAGGTTGCAAAAGATGATCACATGACTCTGGGACACTAAACTGTCATAAGTACATGCCAGTTGCCAAGCATCTGAATTTTGTTCACGTGATCACAGGATTCTGCAATGGTCATTAGTGTGAAAAATGGTCACAAATCACTTTTTTCAGTGCTGTTGTAACTTTGAAAGGTCACTAAATGAACTGTGGTAAACCGAGGACTACCTGTAACTTATTAACATTCCTCAGCTTAAGGAACAAAAAAAAATAGCTATTCAAAACAAAATGAAAGAAATTAAAACACCAATGTTTTAGGTAAAATCCTATATATCTATCACATAATATTACAATCATTTGAATGGGGAAATGGGGAAAAAATCCATTCCTTCTACCCATTCAGCATCCACATGTTGATTTGCCCACATGTTCTCCAACATGTGGTTTAGAAGAATCTGAAAAATCAAGACTTTCAGTTGATCGGGCAGCCCAAAGAGTAAAGTGAAAATGAATGTGTTAGTTAGGTATCCTCTAATATACAGAGGGCAAGGACCAACAGATGGAGTGGGAGTAATACATTCATCCCCCATTTTTCCTTCATGCAATTATTATTGGGCATGTCTGAGTGCGCGGGTGTTTGAACTAATTGATGCAGTGGTGGGATTCAGCCGGTTCGCACCAGTTCAGCAGAACTGGTAGCCAATTTTTTATTGCCCAGGCCCCGAACGGACTTCTGGAAGTGGCATCCACACAGAGAACTGGTTGTTCACATATCTGAATCCCACCATTGGTCTGACTGGTCCATTGTGCAAGATGGCACCCAGTGAACTCTCTCACTAGGCATATAAAAATTCAGTGTTTGCCAACTTTGACCTTGAACAAGCTAAGAAGGATTAGGCCTGGTTAGCATTTAGATGGGAATCCAGTCAAAAAACATCCGAGAAGAAGACCAGAATGGGAAAACCAACTTCTGAATCATTGCCAAATTCAGACAGTCATCAAGCCTGACTTGAGAGACACTTAAATTTGTTGAATTGAAAAACAACAAAAATAAAACTGGCAAAAGGGAAAATGTTGAAATTACATGTGTGCGTGCGCGCGCGCACGTGTGTGTCCATGTACACTGTATGTTCAAACTTAAGATAAGTGAGGGCATATGCATATTTTTATTCTCAGCCCATATTAATCCACTGAGGGACAATTCCATCGAAGGTTGTGGACCATCTTCTATCAGTGCAGGTTGTTAGAAAGATGTTTTTTTGACCTCTCTAGGACTGAGAGAAAGTTGCTGGCCCAAAGTGACCCAGCTGGCTGGGTGCTTAAGGGAGGACTAGAAGCTGGTTCTCTCTCTTCCTAGTCCAGCTTTTTAACCACCCTATACACAATACTGGTGGGCTTGCTGTTGCTCTCTTATCCCACTCTCACCCCCTCCCATCTCTCTACACCAGATCTTGTGTGAAGATACAGAACAGTGGTCCCTGAGCCCTGAAAAGGTTGCTAAGCTTAGCAGTCATTTGGATTGTTCAGCAAACTATGATTTAAATGACTCAGCAATGTCTGACTCTATTTATGGCACTCCATAAAGATTTCAGTTGATTCAAGAGACTTTTTTTGTCCATTCCAATGGGTTGAGAGAGATTTATTCCACAGATAATATGCAAAGAATTGCAGCTGTAGATAGCAAGAAGAAATAGGCTTCATTTTAAGAATGGTTTGATGTTAGGACATGGAAAATTGCCTCTAGACGTTTTGAAGGAGATTTTATGAGCCTTTCTTAACAGCGGTACAGAAAACTCCCATTCTTTAGTTATAATGATTGAGAGGGAGAACAAACAGGTTTGATTTAATGTCTTTAGTCTCACCAGGAAGGAAGGTAAATCAACAGGGAGAAAGGGAAAAAAAGCATAACAAAATGTTATGCTTAAATTCCCCTCCAGACAGAAAGATAAATGTGGTTATTCCCCCAAAAAACCAGAAATCTGTTGGAATCTTGTTATCGCGGTGGAAGATGGAATTATTAATTGTAACCAAAAGGTTTGAACTGGAGAAGTTGAGTAGTCTGCTTTAGCAGAATAACAGAGTTGGATGGGACCTTGGGGGTCTTCTAGTCCAATCCCCTGCTCAAGCAGAAAACCCTATGCCATTTTAAACAAATGGTTATCCAATCTCTTCTTAAAAGAGCTTAGTTAACTAGTTAGCTCTAACTGTAGTTAACTAGTTAACTCTGCAGTTACTAGTTAGCTCTAACTTAGTTCCTTTTAATGATAGAAAGACAGCTAATCTCCCTCGTCAACTTTGAATATACTGCTCATGAGCTGTTGAGTTTGGTGTTATGCTATGCTGCATAAACATTCTTCAATCAGCACTCTATAGTTGTGCTGGATAATATTTCCCATCATTCCCAAGTAGGGACACCACATGACTATAAATTATGGTTTTCACATTCCAATACAACTGTAGTCACCAAGTTGGGGAGGGCTGTCCTTGATTTCAAGCTTTGCAGTGAGCAAACAGTGGTTGTCTGAAGCCTCCCACTTATATTGGGATTAAGCCACACATTTCCAATTCCAGATATCCTATCAAAGAGTAATGTTTCTGGCTGTCTTTGCTTCTCAACCTCATAAAAGCTTCTGTTTTCCCTAAGGATTTTTGATGACAGTGTTTCTCAATCTCAGCAATTGTAAAATGTGGGAAGTTTGACTCCCATAATTCCCCAGT